TTGGGCCGTATTTCGTCGAAAATGCAGCTGAAACTGCGGTAACTGTTAATGGTGTGCGGAATTCCGAAATGTTAACCGAGTTTTTGTGGCCCCAGTTAAATCGATTTGATGTGGAAGATATGTTCTTCCAACAAGACGGTCCGACCTGCCGTGGTGTTACTGCGGAACAAGTTTCCGGACCGTGTCATCTCTCGGTTTGGCGATTAAAATTGGCCACCAAGATCGTGCGATCTAACGCCAACGGACCTATTCCTGTGGGGCTATGTGAAGGAAAAGGTGTATACGAACAAGCCCCAAACAGTTGAACGCTTTAAAGAAGACATACGGCGCGAAAACGTTATCCAGAACTTTAAGAAAAAACCCTGGGCCAAAGGTTTCATGATGGCCAGTTACCGGATGTCCTATTTCATGCTTAATCCTCTTCCTGTTGAAATATAAATGATCGCTTAATTCGAAAAGAAACTGTGTCCGTTGCTCTTATTGAGACACCCATATTGCCAATCCTGATCTCCGTGCCTTGGGAATGGACAAGGTCTGCAGCCTGATCACTTAACGAGATTGTTATCTGTGTTGGAAAAACTGTACCAAGGTTAATCAGAGGAACATTGGCTAGTCAGATATCACGACTGTTACGCTTAACAACTACAACCAAACATTTTGACCGTTCTATAATCAGTTCGGTATATAGAAATGGTCACAAAGCGCTACATAGGCATCTACAAAGCTTGCTGTGCATGGTTATCATGGCTTCGGGCAGCAATGGGTATATGCGGACTGTGTTTGTAAAACAGAATCTAAATATGTTCAATATAAATACTATTCGCGAATGACGCCTTGCGGCGCTGTTTAAATGCCCGTCATATTTGTGGAAGGCCAGGTTTTTGTGTGACATGTTATTGTTGTTGTTGCTCCAGTTCGAATGTGCATGCATTTAAAGGGAAAGCTTTGCGGGATTACCGAAGCGGAATTATTTAGACAGGATCTATGGCCTGTATATTGTAGATTAGCATGGGTAATCAGTCTTACTGTACCCATATCGCTATCTGGACTTAGTAAACTGGTATAGTTACATGATCAAACGAACTTACCTGTAAGTGATGTTCGATCTTAATTATGTGAAGTCCTCGTCGAAGTAAATATTTAGAATACATATCGTAGTACCCTCGTAGTAGTACCCAATCCCCACGATTTCAAAGCGCGCACGCAGAGAAGGAAAGAGGCACCGTGCCGCCCCTTCCCCCTACCTTTCTCCCTTCTGGCCGCCTATAAACTTTCATTTTGATCAACTGAGAAGAAGATCCCACATGCTAATCTTCAAGCACCACTGGTAGTTTTCTTCTGTGGTCTTACTGCCCTAGCGTCAAATATAAAATGTAGGAGTAATACTGACACAGATGAGCTTTTGCGTCAGTGGGACGTGGAAACAGAGTGGGAGCTACACCTGTCCTAATTTTGGTTCAAGTATTGGTTGTTTCTGAAATTTCACTTCTAGAAGTAACGCAAGGATCTGATGGAGGGACATAGGACGCTGCTCCCACTAATTCTGAAGCTTGTCCTGGCTATCGTCATTCCAATCAGCATCGATAATCCATCATGTATTGTGGGATTAGATTACGGTAGGACTTTTGTCACATGTGATAAGAGATCAAGATATAGTTATCAGTCTTTAACCCAAAATGTTATTAACGGTGCAGACATAAGATGATTTTTGAAGGGCATTTACAAGCTGAGGCGATTTCAACCGAAATATAGATACTGTGGTTGTTCTCAACCAACCAAGAGGGTTGCTGGTAAGCTCTCTAGATATTTGAAATCAGCATCATTCCTAGCTCTGACCTCAGGTCAGAGTATGCAAACTAATTGAAACAGACATCCGGATTGGGTTGAATAATATTGAAATTGGGATTTCTCAGTATTTGAAAGTCTCGGGGTCACTCAAGTGGCAACCACTTTTAGTTTTACCGTATTTTACGCCCAAATATCTGTGCAGTCAAAGTATTTATTTGTCATTGTATAGTAACTTTATTATGGTGCCTCTGCTCCCAGATGGATGAAGCCGGTTTTAACAGAGAGTGTCATAATTCACAACCCACAGTACATGAAATGCGTCAACCTCTCCGCCGGCTAAATTAAAGTAGTCTCAGATTCTCGGCGGGCTGGGGTACTTTTTCTGAGATACGTCACAAATCTCTTATGCCAAAAAATAGCTTTGCTCAAGCGGCATTCGAGGTGAACCAAGTCACCAACCTGTTATTACGTTATTTGCTTATTACCATGTAATGGATGGTAATTTTTGAACCAAGTACGTCATATTACGTGTTGCTAAAAGCCCTAATTTGAATTGTTACAATGGAAATGTACATTTACTTGACACATACATTGCGTAAAATTTGTGTAGTTGTGTACAACTTATCGTTTACTATTGCAGAGCGTTAGTAGTATGGTGTTGCAACTAGCTTTGAACATCTACGATATGTATTCTAAATATTTACTTCGACGAGGACGGAACATAATTACATGATCAAACGAACTTACCTGTAAGTGATGTTCGACCTTAATTCTGTGAAGTCCTCGTCGAAGTAAATAGTTCCCTTCCGCCCTATGTGCTATGTATCATCCAATTGTTGCAACAACTTGGCTTTGAAGTAAATGAAGGTTTATGGGCGGCCAGAGAGGAGAAAGGTAGGGGGAAGGAGCGCGGTGCCGCTTTCCTTCTCTGCGTATGCGCTTTTGAATCGTGGCGGTTGGGTACTACTACGAGGGTACTACGGTATGCATTCTAAATATTTACTTCAACGAGGAAATGTTCTAGTTATTGGATGTTGCATGATGTGTACAATACGAAAAAACGTGTCACTTATGTCCGTTGGTCTATTAATTTGTCCCTGTCCAAAATCTTTAACAATCGATTTTGAACCTTTATAGGTTACGTTTCTTATGCTGCCTTTGGCTTATACATATGCTGAGTGACAAAAAAGGTAAACATCTACGTAAGTTTATCAGATTTTAATGATTTTTGGTATATGTTTAGTGTCACTTACTAGTAAGTACAAGCATAAAGCGAAATTTGCAGATAAAATCCTTGTCTGGTGCGCAATTTCTAACAGAGCTGTATCCCGATCTTTTGTGGGAAGGGTGAGGAGTGAGGCTTTGAACATTTAGGACTATATTGATAACTGACTCTCCAAATTGCTTCAGTTTGTCCACGAACATCATACTAATGACCATATCATGTTTAGGCCAGACCTAGCATCCTGCGATCACTCAAGAGATACCCAAGACTGGCTTTGACAACACAACATACCTTTTGTTTCCAAACCTGCCACAAACAACGATTAAGACGGCAAATTTACAAAAAACTGAGAGAAATCGATCTGAATTCCGTCCAGGGCCTCATGAGAGATATTTTAAGAAAGTTGCGTCTGGTGGAGCAGAATGGGCCACTCCACATAATTCAATAGTATAGTTTAGTTGAGTATTGATTTGTAATTCATTATAACTAGCTAGTGTTTTCATAAATTTCATCATTAAAAAAAATCCGATAAATAGTTTGAGCCAAAACTTTTAGCACATACGTTACTTTAATAGATACTACGTAATCGCAGTTTTCCTTATATTCGTAGACCTCATAGATTCGACGAAAAATGATTCTTTTTCCGAATTTTTAATTAGTTAATGAAGATTTACTAGAAAACTCACTGTGTATCAGTGTATTCGGTAGAGGAGGGAAGATAATCCAATCTAGACCATTGCAGTTAGGTCCCATTGGGCACCTTGTACGTCCTTCCCAGATATTGCTTAGGTATGGATCGTCGGACTATTGAAAAAGACGACCTAGCGGAGATTCCCTTTCGCTGGCCATATAATCCCTCAGAATGGATCCTCGGATTGACAGGACTGCTGGACAGTAGCAAAGAACAAGTTGCTTGACTGTCTCACCTTCCTGTCCACATCCTGTAGATTGTGTGTCATTCGGACTCATGACACGGAGATGCTTCGGGGTTAAAGATCCCAATTTGATCCCAATCGGCGTAAAGCTGAATAGGTACAAGTCGGGACTGAGAAGAGGGTTCTGCACATGGTATAAGAAGGAGTTGCGCTTGAGAGTATTTGGGACCCTTAAGTATCTTTCGATATTTAAGACCATTCCTCCACAATTCCAACGATATCGTAGTCGCAGAAGGTCTGCATTGACGAGCCAGTCTCCTTGTTGACATTCCAACCTGATTTCTTGCTCTTCTCAGCAATCTCTCTGACCTTTGTTCAGTAAACGAACGTGGTCTTCCACTATTTGGACATGGCATTCCCGGCTCGAACTCAGCTATTGTTTGATAAATGGTTCTTCGTGAAATGTTTCTATTCTGGAATATTCGACGGATTTCAGCTTTGGGTAACCGCCCAGTCAACTTGTAAATAATTTTTCTTATTTCTAATTCATACATCTTAAAGCGAAAACTTCAAAATAAATAAATGCTAACTGACACTACAGTAAGTAAACAAGCTTTTGTTTCCAAAGGCAATTTGTTTTTTTTTGTTTGTTAAAATTAAATCCAGCGAGTTTTGAGACTAAACTTTTAGGACAAACGATAGTATTAGTGAATTTTGCAATAGCTTTCAAGCAAAACTGCATACGTAAGAAACGTTTTCCAAATGTTCATGACGCTGGGGGTCACAAGGGGACATCTATCCATCTGAAAATTTGTGTGAGGTGATTCCACTCGACATACCTTAAGTTGGATTTATCTTCGACACATTTTGGACGATGTATTTAGTTTTACCTATAGCCTTAGATAAATGGTTACTGCTATCTATGCCTTAGCTTTCATGCTAGTGGCGTGGAATTCTAAATGTTAAAATATTCCTTGATATATATAAAAAGGTTTACATATAAACGGTACTACCTCTAGAATAACAGTCATTTTATGCCATTTCTGTTCCTATTAACCCCTACATGCCCTGTTTCTGCATATCTTCCTAATACTATTTGTCTTTGTGTTCAGATCTTCTGGGATGCTCTGGTATAATTTGATATCGACAATCAAAGGAAGGCTCATCCCGCAGCTGAATCGTACTTGCTTCTCCTGAATATCAAAGAAATCACAAAACCTGGAAGATTTTATAGTTTGTACATTTCGTATATACTTTTTATACAGATCAGTGCTCTGTACATACTTGCAGAAATTGTCCTTTCCTAGTCGAAATACCCTCCACTCAAGTCTCCACTATAATACACCAACTCTCCAGCAAATCCTCCGGAAGATTTATTCGGCCATTCGACAGACATTATCGCTCCTCCATATTGTTCGGACCACGACATGGCCCAAAAGTATCCAATAAGAGTAAATTTCAGAGAGATTAGCCCGGATATCCAAACGGTGGCTTAAACGAACTCCCACTTCCGGTTCCGGTTTTGATAAGTCCCTGTTTACAAACGACTCCAACGGAATTTATTTTGGAGGTAGGGGAATGGAAGTGTTCTAGTATTGAGGTTAGCTAAACGCTTTAATCAATCTTTTTAGTCGCTGGAACGCCGAACCTGTTAAAACCACTACGACTACCTTTTGAATCTCATATTGATCTGTGAGGATCAACTTTGGAATCCTAAATATCTGCAAAAGCAACCGTTGTGTAGAACCTACCAACCACTACAATAATTCGTAGCTATATGATTACAGAACAAAGGAGATGATTGATTTTATAAAATCGTGAAATACAAATATGCACACAAGCTCATTCTGAAGAGGCATGGATGGCATATTAGGTTAGATGTGTGAAATAGTTCTAAGCTGTGTAGCAGCGACAGGTAACATATATGAGATGACGCTAATATGACGTAATGCAATAATTATTTATGGTTATTATACTGGTTACATAACCAAGCTGAATTGCATCTGTTTGATCACCATCTGTGCCATCACGACTGATCGTATACGATGCAGTTTCATCAATGTTAGCCATGCTCAGTTCAGTATAGGTCTTGTCTTCAGGACATACTGCGGAAATCCAACCGATAGCATGAGGTCTACTGAAAAACTCAGTAGGCACTATTGGACTTAGTAACAAGGATCCCAAATAAACAAACTACAATAAAAAGAAACATTTTCTGACTACTTCAGGCCACAAATAGGAAACGCCAAGAATGGGATACTTAACCTAGTCAGAACAAAGCGCTAAACAAAAGTGAGGTGGAGATGTTAGGTGCGGACAGATGGCCAAAGGTTCTGAGAGCCTTTCTAAGCTCCTAGATATAGATTTCCCAGAATGAGTTTTTATAAAAGTGAAGGTGAATGAGAATACTATAGCACAAATCAGTATGGACTGGTATAGAGCAGCCTTGGTTAACCTTAAAGAACGTGATGAAGGAGGAATTATTAGATATGTTGCTTCGGAGCAACTGGAGCTGAACCGGTTATTTGCGGATGGCCAGGCGGACTAGGAAGGAAGAAAGAAGATAAACAGCACTTATATGCCTTACTTGCCAAATTAATGATAGTGGTGTTCACGACATGAAGACTGAGGTACCTTAATTGACCATACCTTTAAAAATATCTTTTACCAGAAGCCTTAAACTGGAACTACATCAGAGGGATACTGGAATTTATTTATAGAGGGAGACAAATCAAGGACAAGTTGTGGATGGAAAAAACAAAGCGTCTTCTGAAATGTGTGGGTATGACCAAAAGACCAACAAGTAGTGCTTGTCAAAGCAAGGAAACAGTCATACGCAGAGTTTGTGAGAATTTAAAATCACAAGAAAATGTTGTTCCCTGCTGACATCCGTCAAAAAGAAGGGCTGGGATTAAGCAAGCTACAAGGTCTTGACATCCTGACGGCATTCGTAAAGCGACGAATCTTGTTCATAAAGTGAGAACTGCACTCCACGAATTACGCAATGAGCAGTGGAGCGACTTTCTGGCGGGGATGTGTGACTAAAGTATTCCTCTCTGGAAAGTGGCAAAATCGCTCAAAAACGGAAGGCAAGAACAACTTCCACATATTCGTGGTCCTGGAGGCATAGTTTTCAGAACTGGGGATAAAGTGGAGGTTTTTGCTGACGTCATGGAAAGTCAGTTCTCTCCCAATTATGATCTGAACAATGACCTTGAGGAGGAATGACTCACTGTGAGATCTGGAGGAGAAGTTTCAGAGCGAATGGCGACAACATCAGTGCTAACATCGATGACTTCTTTTCAGACGATTCTTCTATGGAAAACTCTTCAGATGAATCTCTGCATGGTTCCGTTTTGCATACCAGCGGAGCTCCAATTCCACATTAAGGACCTAAAGGTGCGTAAAGCGCCTGTAGAGGATCAAATCACCAACAAAGCACTGAAGTTGCTTTCGCTCAAGGCTTTGACTTATCTGGTGGTAATAATCAATGCAATACCCAGAACTCAGTACTCTGCTCTTGTATAATCTCATCCAAAAGGGTTTTCCATTTTGGCTACTAAAACTGTTAAAATCGTTTCTAGAAGGAAGGAACGTTTGGATCAAAATTAACAACGCTTTGTCAACAACATGGCCAATGCTCCTCAGGGTTCGGTCTCAGGAACAATCCTTTATTCACTTTATATACATGACGTCCCTTGCCCCAGCAACTGTGAAGTCTATCTTTATGCTGACGACACTACACTGCCAGCCCAGTATTGTTCTAGTAACCTGGTTCACGATAAGCTGCAGAGTGCAGTGGACGAAGTATTGGAGTGGGCGGATCGGTGGTTCATCAAAATTAATAATTCGAAAACGCAGGCAATCTATTGTGGGTGCCCCATCAAAGATATCAGCGAATGGAACTCGTATACCATGGGAGCAATCTGTCAGGTACCTTGGAGCCATCATTGACAAGATGTTGACCTGGCAGAAGCTACTTATATTTTGAAAACAAAATTACAAATTACCTTTCGGCAGCTTTAACTTTTGTTATGCAGAAATTTGGCACACTGGTACGTGTCAAATGAGACTCTTCACAGAGATCTTGATATCCCATGTCCAAGAAATTATATACAACATCAGGCACAGCGGCGTTATAATCAAGCCGAACCGGACAGCAACATTCTGTTACATGATTCAGTAGACTATACAATCGAACAAGTTCACATACATAACCGATCAAAATTATTTTTTGAGTTACAAAATTATTCGAGTAGTCAAAGCAATAAGGTTAAGGCTATTTCAAATGATTTACCTTGTTTTGCTCTATTTCTTCCTCCCTTTCTTTCTTTTTTTCCCTTTTTCCCTTAAACATGTTTAGTATCTGCGTAGCCAGACCTGATGAACTAATAGACCAACGACACTTTTAACTAAGAGCAAAGGTCCACCGGTACGCTCTAACGAACAATAACCAATATTACAAGTAAATGTACAGGAAATGCGAGAGGGTATAAGAATGAGAAAGGCATGAAAAAAATGTTTATTACTTGATAATCTAGTATTGAAGTAATGCCAATGGTTAGCAAGGTGGATGTATCCACGAGAAGAAGACTCGTCCACGACAATGGTATGCGACATAGAATGAACTACTACTAAGAGGGAAGTCATTGAGGAAATAGTAAAGTTGACGCGTCAAATAAATAAGGCGATGTAGGTAGCATGATATGCCGCTAAGAGAAAATGAAATCAGAACCGAGACTGCTGAAGAAAGAATATATGGAACAAGCTACTAGGAAGGGTGTATTGGCTTGACAAACAAAATGAGTGGAATCTGATTAAAGTACACTTGAAGCAAGGGGACGGATTGTTCGGAGAATACATTATGGTAAAGCAGGACACAGTCCAGTAAGTCCTCCAGCAGTCCATATTGTACTCATTGTAAGACAAGCGATCACATGACCAGGTATCATGCGTTTTTATAAGTTTAAAGAGGCGACACAGTCGAGACGAGCAGATCTAGTGACTTACAGTAACAAAGACAGGCATGCAGAGAGTTGAAATCTTACAGTGTAATACTGTGTAGGTAGGTCATAATCTCGATATGACATATGCTACTGCACTAGATAAAAAAGCAGAAATATTAACTAACATTAATAGCGAACCTAGATAAAAATAGTGCACTCGAGGTGCTGAGATCAGAATGGATGGAGGGAGCCATTGCTGTAGATATATAGTACTAATAGTACTTTTCCTCATCACATTAAGTACACAGAGAAAGGGCGGTATCGTTTAATAGTCACACCCATTAGGACCCAAGTGGCAATTGCTGTGTGGGGTGGTGAATTCTGTACTTCTGTACGTGGCTCCAGCTTGGGGTTTGATACTGGAGAATGTTGCTGAAGAGAGTTAGTGCACAATAGCTACATTCGCTAAGACTCTTCAGGTTTTGGCTGCAGAAGTACCCATCCATCTACTAGCAAAGGAAAATAAGCTGATCTGAGAATGCGACGGTGAAAGACCGCGTGCGGAGGAGAAAGCTAATACGCTAAGGAGGTATTGAAGGCCTGGCAATATGACTGGAACCTGAAACAAGAGGTAGCATAGTGAGCCAAGCGTTTAATACCGAAAATTCGGGTGTGGTTAGATAGCAAACATCGAGTTTCACGTGACGTAGTTGTGACAATTTCTGTTTCTACTTAAAGAGAATTGCGGGCAATGCAGCCAAACTAATAACGCAAATCAGATACTAATGTGTTGCACCATTTGGAGCGAGTTCGAAAACGAGTCAATTTTCCGTGAAATGTAACCAAGGACGCCACTTTCGATCGAGCATTAGTGACAATCATGAGAATTTAGACGGACAGCGAGATAAGCAAGAGATTGCTACAAGACGGTCTCCTAATCTCTCCGGAATATAAGGGAGACAAGGGGACTGATGGAGCAGGTGGAGGATTGTTTAACGCGGCTGCTCGAGATGTTATGTCCTAGCGACGGAACGGTTGTGTGGTGTCCGGGCAGGGACTTGCTGGCAACGCTACTAAAAATGAAAAAGTAGTCCGCAACCTGGTGTAGTAACGCATCTGAATCTGACAGTCCGCTCGAAAAACGGAAAATGTCAACCATCATCGATGACACATCGACAAGAGAGGACACT